GTTAAATCAGGGTTTTCCGTTTGAGAAATGTGTGGATCCTTGGTGGTGGAGGTCTTGCACCACCGTCTCTCACTTTGGTGAGATTCACGAGAACTGATATGGCTCAGGCACAACATATATATTATAATCAGAGCGAATAGTGGACCATCATATGTGAGCCATTCACGATTAGGGTACCCATCATCATGATCAGAGCGAATAGTCGACCATCATATGTGAGTCGAATGTTCAGTGTCTGTGCCTTGCGAACACCCACAGTCCTTCAGTGGCCTTCATAATACCGGCATCCTTCCGGCCTGCTCTATGTTATGTGTTCCCCTTAAAAGATAAAGAGGGATAATCATTATTCAAACACAAGAGCAAATTTTAGGCCTCTCAGAAATGGAATAATAACAAAACCTGAATGGCGTATTTTAAGTTACCTTTTAGTCTATTACATTCTTAAATGAGCTCCTGGAAGCTTAAACCTTCTCGATCAACAGCCGATTGCTATTTGGACCCAGTCTGCCTTAAGAGTCCCTCTTCATGAGTGTGTTTGTTGTTAACGGGAAAACCCATATAGCCGAATGACCTATTTGTGTACATCAGAAACACGGTACGGGCAAAGTCTCTTTTAACTGTGTACACAACACATGAACTCCGCACCGTCGTGACCTAGTTGAGTAGCTGGGACACACCGGCACAGGGTTTGTTTCCATTATCACAGGATCTTATTCTATACATTGTGGGTCGGGTCACTCGCTGGGTTTACAATCACCCACTGGTTCACGCTAGTATTACAGCTGATAGTGTGAGGTTTTTTTTGTTTGCACATTTTTCTCAAAGTACAGGTCACATGATGTCACATGTTGTAATCGAGAAATTAGATTAACAATTGCATGTTCTTAACACCTTCAAGAGAATAAGTATTCATGTAAAGGTGCTAATATCAGAGTCTATACAGCTATAAACATACATGTATATTGGTCTACAGTCTTTGCTCATGTTCAATGTTAAATATGGACTTTATCCAAAGCAGGTAGTACATTACTAAGAAAATAAAGTATGTAGCGATGACCAAATTTTGTAGATCTATCATATGAACAGGTTGAAAAAGCTATACATTTTGAGACATAATAGTATTGGCAGCAGATTCTAAAAATATTCGTTTGATGATAGCTGATAGTGTTAGTATAGACTAACGCTTCGTCTCTGAATGATATGTAATTTTGATAGAAATAAACAATTCCTTATAAATTTAAAAGGAGCCTCAGTGAGAAGGGAGAACCTGGGAAAATTGGGGACTTGGGACTTGCTTCATTTCCGACTTTAGCCGATAGGGCTGACTAGAAGGAAAAATAATGTGTTTTAGGGACTGTGAGACAGACTAGTGTTAATGTTTCACGCCGATCCCTCAGAGTAATGCTTATTCTCTGAATACATATAAGTTTGTTAGAAAAAAAAATCCATTTTAAATTGAAAAGGAGACCAAGTGAGAAGGGAGATTCAGAACCTGAGGAAATAGACTTGCTGTATTTGGGACTTTAGCATTGTACGAAGGTTTGGGCGGGAGGAACAATAATTGGTGTTCAGAGACTGAGGCAAACTAAAGGAACCTAGCCGCCTATTGCAATGACGGATTCTAATGCTGTAAATGATACTGGAAGTTGGGGTAAGATCTTCACAAGTTAGACTTACGTGTTTGATATATGTGCGTGACCGTAAATCATAAACTACGTTGACTTTCTTCTCAAGTGTTTGTTTATTTCTTGTTTAAGCCGCACTCAGCAATATTCCAGCCATATGGCGGTCTATAAATAATCGAGCCTGGACAAGACAATCCAGTGATCAACAGTATGAGCATAGATCAACGCTGTTGGGAGTCGATGACATGTGTCAACAAAGTCAGCATGTATGACCACCTGATCCCGTTAGTTGCTTCTTAGGACAAGCATGGGTTGCTGAAGATTAATTCTAACCTCTTTTCAAGTCAAAGTAATGAGAAGGAGAGCTTATTGAGTACTAGTATTGAAGGCGCTACCAAGAGTGCAGTTCCCTATTTTGACTAGTGCTACACGTTCCTATTTTGGTCAGGGTGACAAGACTTTGCATGTGTTTATGACTGGTGAAACTGGTGGGACAAGACCTCACCTTTTCTGGACAACCTGGTATCATCGCTATTTGTTAGTGTTTCATAAATACATGCTATAGTGGATCACAGAGGTTTCTTGTGGATGTCGAAAGGGCTTTGTCTCCCCTCAATAACATCACATCACATCACATCACATCACAAAACAACATGCTCCGCACTTGGCAGAGATGTTTTAGTCAATGAGGAAAAGGTTTCGTCTCTAATATGTTTGTATGACATAAAAACGATCGTGGTATCTTGATATATTGAGTTTTCTCTGAATGATATTCATAGATATATAGTTCTCCTTGCCCTAAAACTTTAAATTGTATGTTAACCACAGGGTAAACCCTCACTTAACATTTAAATTCTTTTGGGACACCTTGGAATCAGCATTTGCCTTCATGGCTACTGATGAGGATTGCGAGGAATGTAGTATTTCTTCATTTCCTCTAATACTGGCAAACTATTGCAAACTAATATTTATGAAATAATTCAAGTAAATAATAATTACCACAAAGCATCAATTCACCCTTTGTAAACGTCGTGACTTAAGGAAACAGAATTACTAATCTTTCACTCCGGATTTGTTCATCAATGTCAATGCAGCTTCTCTTTAATAAGTCCCCTTTGGGTAGCCTAGTAACTAAAGCGTTCGCGCATCACACCCACGACCCGGGTTCGACTCCCCACACGGGTACACATGTGTGAAGCCCATTGCTGGTGTCCCCCGCTGTGATATTGCTGGAATGTTGGTAAAAGCTGCGTAAGACCATATTCACTCACTCACTCATTGGATTTACACGATTCCTTCAGATGTTGGCGATTATTACAATTCAGCCAAGCATTAAAAGAACACATATTCTACGATAAAAAACGTAGTAAGAGGAAACATACTTTGAATGTTTTGGGACTTACACAACCTCACAGGACGACAATTACTATTTTACAGCGATTTAACCCTGTTTGAGGATACAGCCACTAACAATCTCAGTTATTAATCTAATGTACCGATTATATAATTCCATTGATATATTTACAAAACACATTGAATAATTCTATATCTTTTAATATGCAGTAATAAAATGAATACTCAGACTCACTCGATCACTATTTCCACATCCATTAAACGTCCCTGCTAAAAGTAGAGTCGATTCCATGAAATGATTCTATTTCCAGAATCCTACGATATCCAAACACACCCAAAACCCATTTTAAACAAAAGCGTACTCACATGAGATGCCCAGTTAGCTTGCTCTCCCTTTATCATCTCGGTCGGTGTGTAATGTCTTGTCGCCTGGACGAGCAGTGCTGTTCTGCGGTAAATAACGCCCCCAAAGAGATGACAGTCTGTTTCTAAACACATTTCTACATTTCCTCAAATATCATACATGTAATTATACATATACACACACCTATATATGCAGACATACACAAAATAATGACAAAACATGGATTTCCCTCCTTTAGCGTTTGTGGATGTCCTTACATATGTATTGATGTACACAACCGAATTCCACCCTTTGGTAAAAACTAGTACTTTTGTTGGGTTGAGTCCTATCCGGGATTCGTACCCCCACTCTCACTGTTAGGCAAAAATACTAGAATCTGTAATTTACTGAGAAAGAGTCATCCAAACAATGCGTGAAGCCCATTTCTGGTGTCCCCCGCCGTGATATTGCTTGAATATTGCTAAAAGCGGCGTAAAACTAGACTCACTCACTCTTGATGATATTTTGACACAAAATTGCAAGGAAGATTTATAATTAGGGTCTTTCTATTCCAGTTGCCAGAGAATATGATAAGAGAGTGTAGTATGAATTGTTGCATAAAATGACATGTTTGAACGATAGAAAGTTTGTGATCGCCATAATGTTGTTCTTCATAGCTATGTACAGTAGCATTCACAATTCTTCTCCATACATGTTTTGGAGGAAATATGCCTTGAGCAATATATTTGTCAACATATGTATTTAGATTAGACTTTCAGATATTGATAAAAGAATGACGTTTTCAGAGTAGGAGTTGTTAAAGTGTTGACATGTCACTGCTGAAAGCCCATTCACGCAATCATGTGAATGTTCTCACCGATTCCATCGTCAAAATCATCGTCCTTATTATTTTTAAATGGGATAAACATTGGAACCGGGAGAAACATCCCATAGCCCGAAGGCCAGATATAACTAGGCCAGTATATTTACACATTCGGTAAATGCTAGTCTAGGTAAATGCTTTCGTTAAATTTTCAAATTTTAAATCGAGACCTTTTTCACAATATTATTCTATGTGATTTCTGCATGGTTATTTAATGTTCATACACACCGGGTCTGTCAAGTCAACGGGTAAAACACAGGTGATCAGCGATGAGTATGCTGGTAGAATTATGGGTATGTCAAAATTTTGTTAAGTTAGATGATCATTTACGAACATAATATATCAAGAATCATTTGCAGAGGTGTAACAAAGAAAGTTAGATCTGTACCTCATTCGGTTCATAGCCGTTCTAGAACTAATTCACGGACGTGCCATCTCTGTGATAGTCTGTCTCACAGTCCCTGAATCACATTATTTTCCCTACAGCCTAGCCTTCCCTGTAGTGCTAAAGCCCTAAACGAAGCAAGTCTAGATTTCCCCAGGTTCAGGAATCTCTGGTCTCCCTAGGGCTCCTTTTCAATTTAAATGGGCTTGTTTGTTACTATCAAACTTATATATATTCAGAGACTAAGCCTTAGTTTATCTCTGTGAGTAACCAGTGCGATGTGAATATAGCTTCGTTCACGAATGCGTCTGGTGTAAATAATGACCCAGCCGTTGAACTGAGGATGAGGAAGTGTGTACAAAACAGTTTGTCCTAGAAAGCCGACCGGGCCGGTTACTGGGACGTGGGAGAATAACTGGGACACGTCAAACGGTGAATGGGACCCATGTGTAAACGATACGTCACAGCAGAGTTTATCACCGGGTCAATGGCTGTTCATCGGGAGTGTGTATATAAGGATGGACAGAGTCTGTTGTTGGTTAGAGAACTTCGGTTCGTCGGCTTGCAAACATGGACGTTCTGCAACTTGTATCCCGTCTCAATCGTGACACTGCTCTGCAGGCTGTGGGGACATCCGTGGCCCTGTACGTGGCGTACCGAGTGGTCAAACTCGTGGTCTGGTATCGGCGTTTCTTCAGCTTCTTCAACAACTGTCAGGGCGTCAAGGAGTTTAACTGGAGGTCTGGGAACCTGCATGTGGTGAGTCAGTTTACAGCACGTGTCGTGTCATTTTACTGCATGTGTCGTGCCATTTTACAGCATGTATCGAGCCAGTTTACCGTATGTGTCGTGTCATTTTACTGCATGTGTCGTGTCATTTTACTCTATATTTTGAGTCTCATCTGCATTTGTTAAGTCACTTTACTGCATGTGTTAAGTCACTTTGATGCATGTGGGGAGTTACTTCTCTGCATGTGGTGGGTCGCTTTACTGCATGTGTTGAGTCCCTTTACTGCATGATCAGTCACTTTACTGCATGTGTCGAGTCCCTAAATAATCACAAAGCTGATTGATGTCTGTGAATATGTAAACAACGGGAAATGTTCATTTAAAGTGATTTATACTAAGTTTGCTTGTTTGGTTGGTTGGTTGGCGGCGGTCTGTAAATAATCGAGTCTGGACCAGACAATCATGTGATCAACATCATGAGCACCTATCTACGCAGTTGGGATATGTTTGAAATATACGGACATAAAATAACCGCAACAAACCCCTTCCGCATCTGTAATAAAGACATGTTTAACATTTGGTAGATGGGACCTAGTCATATGTCAGGAATGATGCCCTGGATGTATGTCATCATGTCACATGGTTCCACATCTGTATCCATGTCCCCGAGTACACTATAATGATCAAACTTAGTCTCTTACATTTAGTACCTAAGCAATGCCCTCTGGGATTTTGCAGGTTATCTATTGTGAGTTGGTTACTAATAGTAATTATTCTATCATGGCTACGTGAAATACTCGAATTTGATTGGACAATCAATACAATTAGACAACTGGATTGAAAATGCGCCTGATTTCATGAACGCTTCACTGCGCACATATACAACACTGCCGCATCAGCTTGACCACCAACATGGCTAATATCAACACAACAGACGTGATGGAAATGCTAATAAAACATTTAAAAAAAAATACAATTATATGATGTTTTTTTCCTCCACAGTTATTAGGCAACGTCACTATCATATTGCCTTCTATTATAAACATATTCAAACTCAATTACAATTGTACAGCCCCACTCATAACCAAACAATATCTAACTTATAAATCAGAAAGCCTTATAGAAATACATCCCTGTTTATACAAAAATTACAGTAAAACGTTCGTAATATTGGCATACCTGGGAAACGGTATATTTGTTTCCTTTTTGAATGGCGTACACAACATGAGATATCCAGTAAGTTTGACACACTATCTTTGCGTCACACTTTCGACAATTTTATGAGGATATTCGCAAGATAACGCTAAGGCGAAACACCAAATTTATGCCCCTCATACTCTATGATATCCCGTTGCATCGTTCAAAAAATACATATCAAAAATTGAACAACCAGAATTCTGCTTTCTGCCAGCTTCCCCGCAAGGCTGTTACTGCGCGTTCGGTTTCAAATGAAATTTAGATTCTATCAATTCGGTCTAACATTCATCTAATTTCCAAACAGGTTTATCTCCTAAATAACAGAAGGTTATTGGAAGATATGTTTTCTTCTTGAAAGATATTTAAGGCTCAGATTTGAAATGTTGGGTTGTCCAATTATTTTTGTAGATTTATAAACAGTTTGGATATAGTGTAAGGTGTTTCTTATTTCTTAATACCTTTGTCCTGAAGGTGGTGAGTTTTATGGAGAAGCATGTACAATGTGAATGACCCCTCTAAAATTTATGTACAAAATCAGTGACCCCCCTGCATGTCATGTACAAAATCGAGTCTCCTAGACTAACGCTTAGTCTGTGAATATATATATATATCATATATATATAATTTTGATTATAACAAATAAACCCATTTAAATTGAAATGGAGCCCCAGGGAGACCAGAGATCCTGAACCTTGGGAAATCTAGACTTGCTTCATTTACGGCTTTAGCACTGCAGGGAGGGATAGGCTGTAGGGAAATTATATGGTTTAGGGACTGTGAAGTAGACTACGGGCGTTGTACGTTACGGTGTATGACCGTTATAAAAGCTGGCGGGACAGGGGCGGTATCGTCGCTGATATAGTGCTTGACACGAGTCTCCTTAATCAGGTGCATGGATGTGTTTCAGCTCCCCCAGGACTTCGAGAAACGTGCCGAAGTGGAGCAGGAATGGATGAAGAGATTCCCCAAGTACTACCGGCTCTGGGTAGGGCCTCTTAATCCAGTCATCAGGGTCTACCACCCAGATACCATCAAACCCATCATCAAGTCCGCAGGTAAGCAGAAAAGAAAATAACTAGTCTGGGTGCATTGAAATAGGTTCTAACTGTATCTGAAACGATATCAACTTCATTTAAGTATATGCCTCTGGACAACAATATCAACATCATTTAAGTATATGCCTCTGGACAACAATATCAACTTCATTTAAGTATATGCCTCTGGACAACAATATCAACTTCATTTAAGTATATGCCTCTGGACAACAATATCAACTTCATTTAAGTATATGCCTCTGGACAACAATATCAACATCATTTTAGTATATGCCTCTGGACAACAATATCAACATCATTTAAGTATATGCCTCTGGACAACAATATCAACATCATTTAAGTATATGCCTCTGGACAACAATATCAACTTCATTTAAGTATATGCCTCTGGACAACAATCTCAACTTCATGTAAGCATATGCCTCTGGACAACAAGACCCACAAATCTTGGTCAAACTTTCGCAATAGAAGTTTACAAACAATTGTAAATGTGTCTCGCTCAACACTGAAAGAAATGTTTCAATATGTGTACATTGATTTCAAAATCAGTCCAGAAGGTTTGTCCCGTTCTTTGCATTTTCACAGAGCCAAAGCCAAGGGGATTTGGGGCCCAATATGAAGCAGCAGTGCCCTGGCTCGGGGAGGGTCTCCTGATCGCTGGGGGACAACGCTGGTACCGAGCTCGTCGACTCCTTACCCCCGCCTTCCACTTCGACATCCTTAAACCCTACGTCGAAGTCTCTAACAACGCTATTGACACTATGATGGTAAGAGTGAGTGAGTGAGTTAATATTTAACGTCACATCGGCAATATTTCAGCCATATCTATGATGGTAAGAAGCTTACATGCCTTCAACAATGTCACCAAGATACATTCAGTGTTGCAATTGTTATTTTAAGGTAAAATCGCAGGTTTACTTACCATTTATGAAGGGCTCCTTAACTTTGGCATTCCTTAATATGTAGGGGGTATCTTCATTCTGGATGTCAATATTTACTTGAGCCTATCATGTTCCCTCTTAAAGTTTCCGGTTAAGAATGACGATACAATTGGAACACCGTTAATACGTTAAATCACATGAAATTGACAGCCTCTACCTTAAATTGGACATCAAGTTCGGTTTAAGATCTCCATCTATGTGTTTGAGTTACATGTAGCCCTCTCAGTTCTCGATTGGCTGAGCAAAGCATTAATTTTGTGGAATTTTGTGATTTCAACTATTCTGGTGTGTGTCGTCTTTTATTTACAGAGGGTAATTCAGCCCTGACTAAAAACGTTTTACAAATTGAGCCAATATTTCTGGGAAGTATACATGTGGCAGTGTTTTAATGTAAACGGCGTGTATAAGGTTTTACAATCAGCTGAGTGTACATGCAGTTTACATGTGTCTTAATTTCAACGTGTCATGCCGCACTATGTTCAGTGTTGCCTGATCAGCTTTCAAGGCCTTAGTAAAGCATTTACAAAAACCTTCCAAGGCACCTGGGGGTTGGGGTGAGGGGTGTAAAGCGCATGATCAAATTGGTTTTCGAAGATGTGGACAACACCTTAGAACTTCATCACTTCAGCATTCCCTCACACTTATAGGTCGTGAAATTGCCGTAAAAGTTTACTCACTCATTCAATAAAACCTTCACCAATAAACTTTTATTTAACAGGCTAAGATTGACAATCACATCAAGGAAGGCTCCAGCTTTGAGTTGTTCAACATGATCAGTCTGTGTACATTTGATATCCTGTTGAGATGCGCCATGTCGGTCAAGGAAAACATACAGCAACAGGGGTGAGTACGGGGAATCTGATGGACAGCAGCATGGGTGAATACGGGGAATTTGAAATATTACAACATAAGTGAATATGACACCATGTGTGGGTACGGGGAATTTGTTATATGACAACAATGGTGAGTATGTGGAATTTCATATCTGACAACATGGGTGAGTGCGGGGACTTTGATATATGACAACATGGATGAGTACGAGGAATTTGATAAATGATAACATGGGTGAGTACGAGGAATTTGATATATGATAACATGGGTGAGTACGGGGAATTTGATTATGAAAAGCGGGGCGAATACGGGGAATTTGATATATGATAACATGGGTAAGTACGAGGAATTAGATTATTACAACATGGGTGAGTACGGGGAATTTGATATATGACAACATGGGTGAGTACGAGGAATTTGATATATGACAACATGGGTGAGTACGAGGAATTTGATAAATGATAATATGGGTGAGTAAGAGGAATTAGACTATTACAACATGGGTGAGTACGGGGTATTTGATATATGACAACATGGGTGAGTACGAGGAATTTGATAAATGGTAATATGGGTGAGTAAGAGGAATTAGACTATTACAACATGGGTGAGTACGGGGTATTTGATATATGATTACATGGGTGAGTACGGGAAATTTGATAAATTATGACATGGGTGAGTACGGGGAATTTGATATATGACAACAGTAGAGATGGGAGTAGCCAGGCAGGTAGAAACAGGGGTGAGTACGGGAAACAGACCGACTTCAACGCAGATGAGAAAGTGTAACAGGGCTGTGTACGGGGAGTGTGAGAGCCGGAAACAATGGTGAACGCGGGACATGGTTTCAGTTACATGTAGTTACAGGCAACCTTCAGTTCTACACACAGCATGTACGATCAATATTGTTTTAAAGAAAGACTTATCAATTAATATGCATACTTTTTTTTCTGTCAGGCAAACACATCCGTATGTAAGCGCAGTGAATGACTTGCTCACCCTGGTTACAATCCGAAACTTGTAAGTTGCTACAATCCGAAACGTGTAAGTTTCGGGAGTTTTTGTTTAGTTTATTTTGGTGTTGATTTTTTGGGTTTTGTTTTGTTTTGTTGACATTAATTATTATTGTTTATATACTTACTAATATACTTATTTAATCATGGGGGGGGCCTTGCAAAATTTGAGTGCCACTAAACTGTAATATTGAGTGGTATTTTAATAAGTTCCATTCACTCACGCTCAACCTGTTTCCTAATGCTACTTGTTTAATCCCCTTAATCTTCCAATCTTGTTTCGTACTTTCGCGGGGCGGGCTACACACGTTGATTAGTTAAAAAGGTAAATATAAGTTGTTAGACAATAACAGAATATTATTGAATGCAATGGATTTCTTGAATTCATTAAATGGATGCATCAGGCGCGAGAATGATTGAAGACTTGTCTTTTTCAGCAACCCACTGTACTTCTTTGACTTCGTCTTTTACAACACGTCCAAGGGGAAGAAGTTTAAGGAGCGTTGTGACTTTGTACATAGCTGGGCGGAAGGCATCATCGACAAGAGGCGACAGGATTTGGTCAGTGTTTAACGTTCAACAATCTTTACAACATAGTTCACAGTAATGCAGAGAATAGGTCCTATCCCAGCAGGCACATCAACGTTGTTTCAACGTTGAGAATAGGTTGATCCTCAACGTTGAAAATAGCTTGAAAATAGGTTGTATATGAAAGTTTTTTTGACGTAGATATCCGACGTGGAATCAACGTTGAAGTTTGACCGATTATCAACGTTGAAAAAAGGTTGATCCTCAACGTTGAAAATAGATTGAAAATAGGTTGTATATGAAAGTTTTTTTGACGTAGATATCCGACGTGGAATCAACGTTGAAGTTTGACCGATTATCAACGTTGAAAAAAGGTTGATCCTCAACGTTGAAAATAGATTGAAAATAGGTTGTATATGAAAGTTTTTTTGACGTAGATATCCGACGTGGAATCAACGTTTAAGTTTGACCGATTATCAACGTTGAAAAAAGGTTGATCCTCAACGTTGAAAATAGATTGAAAATAGGTTGTATATGAAAGTTTTTTTGACGTAGATATCCGACGTGGAATCAATGTTGAAGTCTGACATATTATTAACGTTGAAAATGGGTTGTTCCGTGGTTGTATATGAAAGTTTTTTTGACGTAGATATCCGACGTGGAATCAATGTTGAAGTCTGACATATTATTAACGTTGAAAATGGGTTGTTCCGTGGTTGTGTCTGGGAGGTATTACGCTTTCCTGTAAATAGACTCGCATTTCATCTTTAAACTACAATAAAGTAGCACCAAACTCCTGCATCCAGCTAAAATACCCAAAAAGCTACCTGCAATAAACAGTGTTCAAACAGAAAATTGCAGTAAAAATATTTACCTGATAAAATACTTGGTTACAATTCCACATTCAATATAATGTTCATTTAAGTTTTATGTCAGTTGGACGTATAATTCCAGTAAGAAGAAAAGAGTATTCCAAATTAAGAAAACTATTTACTGTTGTATTGTTACCTTGAAAGGTGAAAATTGTCCCGAGAAGACATTTTGTCTGAATTTCAGCTCTTAGACAGGCCCCTGAATAAACACAATGCAATTACTTTCACCATGAAAGGGATCCAAGATGACCAGGAACTATACCTGGAGACAGCACATAAAACAAGTCACTTTTCATGAAATCTTTATGAACACACACGCACACAGAAAACGTAGTTTAATGCATAATGTAAAACATCACACATGACATAGTCTGTAGGTGATCTCTGTTGTGCTTATAACACAATATCATCTGCATATAGCATCAAAGTGACATTTACGCCACCAATTTCAATACCACAGTTCAGATTTTTCAACACAATTACAACTCCAAAACACAATTATCAGCTCCTCTTCTTTCTGCCACTCCTGCCTGGCGGTCAGGTGGATACTTCAGAAACGTTCCTAACTCTTTCTTGAAATTTGCTTCGGATGCATTCCCATCTCATTCCCTTGAGATAGGACACATTCTGAAATTTTATATTTAAATACATGAATAAGTTATATGGAAGATATATTGTCTTAAATGATTCAAGTATTTGTTTAATCAATCACTTGAAAGGTTCATTTCACTGCTGTAACTTGGCATGTGAACATATGAACAGCATCAATACAAAATATGACGAAAAGTGTAAACAATATATATTTTCAACCGAAGGAATGGAAGTTTTCTTAAACATTTTCAAAGAAAATCCTCATTTGCAAGTTGATTATTTAATTAGACTATGAATTACCGGTAGGATGAATTAGACGATGCTTTACTGTCATATATTATTTGCTATGGTCATGATGAAAATGCTGCACTTGGTAATTAACTTACCAGAGATGATTGAATACAACCTTGTATTCTTAAAAGAAAACTTGCCGTTTTGCCCATCAACATTCATTCTTGACATCAAATTGTTTGACATTGTCCTGCAAAACAATGGAAGATTGTTGTTATTCTGTCAGATTTAGTTTTCTTTAGAGATTCTCGGAAATGATTATTTCAAATTAATAGGAGTTGAACTGATGTAGCAATTTTGCTACCAGGAGTCATAAATTGTAACAAAAGCCATTTTACATTAAATGATAAGAAAACAAAATGGGTGGTGGTTCACAGGTCAAAGAACAAGTCTATTGTGGGAGGTCTCCCAACACCATTTGTTCCCAAACACAAGGAAGTATGGATCATGGAGTTGTGAAAACAATAATGAGCTCTCATAAGTATACAATATATTCTCAAGTATCTACTCTCTCTCTCTCTTTGTCATTTGTACACTCATAAAACTCAGATAAATAACTTTTTTATAATTCATAAATGTTTACACTTAATCTCTTATAGGAACGCTTAGAAAATCTCTCATATAATGAATTATGTGTGCGTATTATCTGCGACGTCATAACTATGCTTCTCTGAATCATGAGCAATAAAATAATGAGATTAAACTCTACATTGCCAGAAATAATCTATCATACCATGAATAATAAGACATTGAATAACATCTCTTACAACTCCAATCTACACTCAAAAAGACTTAAATGTACTCGTAAACAAACATCGCTGGCTAACGCAAATTCTTGGAAACAGTACATCTCTGACTCTCAATTCCAAGAAATGGAAGTCCTACTGTATTTGACCAAAGGGGTGACAGGTGGCCAAAACATATTGAAATGTAGGTCATTCACTGAAAATAACTCTGATTTAAAACACTACAAATATACACCTTCTCTCTAATATACTCGATAGATGATCTTAACAGGGGAACATGTACATAAAATGCTGATATCTAACAACACCTGTACTTTAAATAATGGACTCTTCCAAATCTCAGTATGTTTCACTTCACACATATTAGATTGCAAATAATGAAAAACCTACCCTTAGACAATAATAAAAAACATCATATTCAAATTCTACAGCTGACCAAATACCTGAAGAGTGTGTTTCCCAGCAATAAACATCTCTCTATATATCTATAAATGTATGACTTCTGTCCTCTCGCGTGCTATCTTGCATCCAGCTGTTTACGGCGAAAAACAATATGGCGCCAAGCAACTATTATCACCAAAAAAGACCAAACATTATCACAAATATTCAAAACAGGTGGTAATGAAAGAGCATTATCATCTTTCTCTTAAACTTTGTGGTGGATATACTGGAAACAAGTGAAATGTTAAAAACGTGTTACCTTAGCCTTGCTCCTTTTATGTGATCCACAAAATTGCTGCCACCCAGTGTTCGAAGATGAGATTTCTGCAAATTCCATTAAAATAATCTTATTTCATAATTAAATGTTCCTTACATTAAAATTACTTCTTTTGTATGTAAGATTGTAACCTTTAAGAGACATGAATTATCATATCCCATCCAAACAAGTGTAAGAATGAAAGTCTGTGGGTGCAGTTTTGTTAATTGTCCCATCAAAGAATCATTAGTGAAGTTACACTTTATGTAAATAAATAAAAGTTCAAATAAATTATATACAATTTCATCCTTAACAAAGACTTTCACAAGACATTTTAAAGTGAAAATTTTCGTTGCATTTCCTTACGCCATTCTCCACCACCCCCTCCACCCCAATAATATACATATGTTGATAGGGTTCAGGGCATCATTTACTGATAGATCTATTCAAACGAACAAATGTTCATAATAATGGGATGCAATATAAAATGTTGATTAAACCTATCCGATTTTGTATAGCTGCCCTTAGGGACCGTTCATAATGTATGGCTTTGGGGTGATGTTGATTTTTATGTACAATGTGAATTACATCACCCCCCCTAAAAGTGTATGAGTATGTACAGAATAAGAGACGGCCCTCCCTGCATGTCATGTACATTATCTATGACGCCCTCTCCCCTTCCCATAATTTCTAAACATAGTGCGTGTGTACAAAATGCTGACCCTTAGCTCCCTGAACAAAATGGGTGACACCCCACCCCACCCCACCCCACCCCACCCTCCAACCCTTACAATCAACACCCCCACCCGCAGCCATATATTTAATTATGAACGGTTCCTTATATTGATGTACTTCATTAATTATTTGAAAATGTATATTTGCAAAATTTAAATCAGGTGATGGGTACGAAAGGAAATCTTATTCGATTATATAATAAAATGCCAAATATATGCATGCAAATATATTGAAAAATAACAAAACAAACTTTTGAGAAACATGTACTGTGACATACCGGTAACCTTGTGAGATAAAACATGAGCCCTAATTCGGAGTTTCTTGCTACTGCTAGATTTAAACGGCATTCCTACGTTTTCATTATACATGAAGGACATACTTACCAAATAAACACCAGCATGCCGTGAAGATGGTGAAAATAGAACGATATTGCGTTGACTGACTGACTGACTGAGTTTGGTTTTACGCCGCTTTTAGCAATATTCCAGCAATATCACGGCGGGGGACACCAGATATGGGCTTCACTCATTGTACCCATGTGGGGATTCGAACCCGGGTCTTCGGCGTGACGAGCCAACGCTTTAACCACTAGACTACCCCACCGCCCCGATATTGCGTTGAACTTCGCCAAGGTGAACTGACAACGATCAGCTGCCTTTGCGCATGTCCGGATATGGCCAAACGAGGCGATCGAAAGGTCAACATCTGGCTTGTGTTTGAAAGCAAATTGTCGGGAATTATACAATTTTCACAGTTTTGTGGGAAAATATCAAATGTAATGCAATTTGGATAACTGATGACTTTATACCTAAAACTGCGATTTACGTAATATTTCCGTCCGTTGATCGATGCACAATCAAATAATATATAAGATTATATCTGTCACTAGCTCGATCTTGATCTTTTATGAAAATAATGTTCCGAAATGATAGTTGCTAAGTTGGATACCTATTACCAATATGAATTATGTATCAAATTTGCCAAGGAAACAATTAGTTGACATTTTGTTGGTTCCTTACGTTGAAACAACGTTGACAACTAAACAAATCTCGACTAACTTTCTTTGGTCGCATGATAAACGTTGAATCAACGTTTATGAAAGGTTGATCAACCAAACAACCAAAATTCAACGTTGATTCAACGTTGATTCAACGTTGTGTGCCCGCTGGGATGACTTACCGTGGATGTGAAGAGAGAGTGAATGAGTGAGTTTGGTTTTACGCCGCTTTTGCAATATTACGGCAATATCACGGCGGGGGACACCAGAAATAGGCTTCACACATTGTACCCATGTGGGGAATTGAACCCGGGTCTTCGGCTGGACGAGCGAACGGTTTAAGCACTAGGCTACCCCATCGCCCCTATTAACAGAAAGACCGAAAGCAAAAATATTTTCTGTATAAAACATACGTAGGTCATGGAAGCCACAAATAACTTTTAGCCATAGAAGGCCCCTTTCAATATAACGGTATTGCATGTGTTAATTCCGTGTAATATAGTCCCTTAAACTTCGCTCATACCTCAACCCCAAATCAAATGTACGAGGAGCTCGGCAGGTAGAGATAAATCAAAGGAAAGTAATGCACATGTAGTTGACGAATTAGCCAAATATTGGTACACCTACAAGTCTTATTTCATATTAATCTTTTAGCGTTAAACCATTGTGTACCCACCACGCTGTGGTAAGATAGCTAGACTTATCCTGGTTAATCGAAAAACATTTTCTGAAAATACGGCATTTCAATGATGTACCCACAAAAAACTGTGAGAATATTTCGAAAATGAACATTTCACATGCCTGAATATATGTATAGTATTTTAGTTTTTATACATGGAACTTATTTGAGTGTATCTTGCGATAGGTAAGATGTTGCAATGGGTTATATTCTAATACCGAGTACATATGCGGGGATGTTTATTTTATTTTCTGCACTTTGAGATGTTATAGTGTATGTAACATTATACCTCTGAATAGCATTACCCTGTGTTTATGATCGTACTGTGTATATACAGGAGAGAGATGGTCCCCCCAAGGCCCGCTACCTGGACTTCCTGGACGTCCTGCTCAGTGCCAAAGATGCTGATGGCAAGGGCCTCACCCCGCTAGAGATCAGGAATGAAGTCGACACATTTCTATTTGAAGGTACGCCAACTAAACAAATCGCTGTTTATCGGGATAACTATCCTTTATTGATGGTTGTAACATGTCTCTGTCATTACACATGCATGCACTGCGAAATCATAATGAAGGAATAAGAATGTTGTAATGGAAAGGTTACATGCAAAAAAGATGAGAAAATTGCAGAAGGTTTTCCGGACTCCACTTCGGAATGTATAGCATTATGATCTACAGGCCAGTGACCTCCTCAGTATGGACATAAGCACTACTTTATTTGACTCAAACGTGGCCATTGCTGTTGACCTTAAGCATTGATGAAAACAAGTTATAAGCAATGGTATTGTCATCTGACAATATGCAAAATTGATACACTCACCCATATAGATTAAACATAGTTGGCCTGATTCTAGATTTATAAGTGTTCTATCGCTCATTCTCGATTAAATTTATTCTTAAGGTTAAGTGTATTTCCATCTCACAATATACTGGTGGGATAGCCTAGTGGCTAAGGCGTTCTCTCGTCAGGCCGAAAACCCGGGTACAATGCGTGAAGCCCATTTCCGGTTGCCGACACCGCAATAATAGTTTTAAAGTGGATAAACTAAAACACTCACCCCCTCCATCTCACAAACATTAGTAAATCCTAATCTTAATAAATGTATTCTTCCTTGGTCATGGGAATGCGACATTGTACAGAGATTCCGATCACATTATGTGAACACAGACGGAATGTTTCACTTGCATATCCTGCAATTTCCACATGGTCATTATCATGGTGTTATCTACAAGTACATGAGAGATAGTCCACAAGACATCGACCGAAAGTATGTCCCGTTCAAATCTGGCCAAAGCATAATGACTATAAATGTTTTCAGGAAACGTTAACGTCTGACATCAGCAATACGATCTAAAAAGAGGTACAACAAGCATACATCTGTAGCTAATATCAACAATCTTTCACCACCAGAAACTGATTTATCGACAAACCTTGTGACTCTGGACATGGGCCAGTTATGTGAAGGATGTGTTGCTTCTCCGATGGACTTTTATTTCAAGTGGATGTTTTGATCTGCGTTTCTTTGTTGTGAAGGTCACGACACAACGACCAGTGGAATATCATGGACGCTGTTTACCATGGCCTCCAAACCCGAGTTCCAGACCAGGGTCCAGGAGGAAGTGGACACATTGCTGGAAGGGAGAGAATCCAAGCACATAGAATGGTAGGGCACAGCACCGGTTCGGGTACATGTTGTAGGGGGAATCACATAGCATAGCAAATCGCATGGTATGGCAATCATGGTATGGTGAATTACATCACCTGTACGATACATACCCTGGTATGGCACATTACCTGGTGAATTACATCACCTGCACAATACATACCCTGGTATGGCACATTACCTGGTCGATTACATCACCTGTAAGATACATACCCTGGTATGACACATTACCTGGTCGATTACATCACCTGTACGATACATACCCTGGTATGGCACATTACCTGGTCGATTACATCACCTGTACAATACATACCATGGTATGGCAGGTGACCTGGTCAATCACATCACCTGTACAATATTTACCCTGGTATGGCAGGTGACCTGGTGAGTCACATCACCTAAACATACCCTGGTATGGCAGGTGACCTGGTCAATCACATCACCTGTACAATAATACTCTGGTATGGCAGGTGACCCGGTCAATCTGATCACCTGTACGATACATACCCTGGTATCGCAGGTGACCTGATATGATATGGTATACATACCCTTACACATGGTTGGGCCTGTCGATTGGTAAAGCACATCACCTGTTCAGGTACTAATTACATGGACGGGTACATCGCACGGTAGAGCACATCACCTTGTAGGTCTTATCATGTAGTAGAGAGTCAAGCGTCAAAATTTATTAGGTCAAGAACCAATACATTTCAACTTAATGAAATATTTGCCTGTGCACATGGCGAGGTACATAAATAGATAGCAATCATCGTGAGGATAAAGGTATGCAAAATATCACAAAAATTCAACTTTGTTTCTTTCAGTTAAGTTATAATAAACACATGTCGCAGCTTTTAAGATATAATAAACACATGTCGCAGTAATTAGATTGTGAAACAAAATTTCCCTGAAACTATCATAAAATAAGTCCAATCTAAAACACCTTGTTTGTTGAATGCAGTAGTAATACAATGGAAACTGACAATGTCTCATTTGGCCAGTGATAATGAAATTGATAAATGCAGTGCAGCGAATACTTCAAAATTGTTTTCACATCTTAACAATTTGATAAGCATAAACATAATTATAATTTCCAATAGGGTAAAAATTACATATTGTTTACGTTACGGTATTTTTCGATATTTTGGACAAATCAAGAGTACGTGGCACTCATCTTAGGAGAAATTAGAGAAGAGTAGGAGAAATTGCCAGAAAAAGGCAGTCAGTGAGTGAATGGTTTCACGCAGCCTTTAGCAATACTCCAGCAATATCACGGTGGGGGACACCAGAAATGGGTCTCACACATTGTACCCAGGTGGGGAATCGAACCCGGGTCTTCGGCGTGACGAGCGGAATCTGGTAAAGAGCGTCACCAGGTTGTTGTTTGTTTGTCAATTGTTTTAAGCCACAACATTCCAGTTATATGACGACAGTCTGCAATTACACACACTAGAATTAGTTCAATGGCCGTGATATTGCTGGAATATTGCTAAAAGCGGCATAAAACTAAACTCGCTCGGTCAGTCTACATATTAATATCCTAGTGTTTTATCCTGGCCAATCGTAGTATTGTAACGCTTAGTGCAAAAACCTACAAGGCAATTTACAGCTGCGTAGTACCTGTTTTATAATCTTTTTATATATGTTGTACAGAATTTCTTTTATCCACCGCAATGTGCATGTTTTTTTTTTTAAAATATGGTTTATCCTACTTCTAAGGATCCTCATAACTCCAACAGGAGTGGCTCATTTTAAATCACGTTATTTCATAGCATCTTATATGTAAATTGAGGCGAGACGTTAATAAACTATGCGTCTGTTAATATGTTTGACTTTATATTTGGAGAAGTTTGACTACTGGAAGGTAATGAACCACGTATATGTTTTAGGGATGACATCCACAAGATGGAATATCTGGCCCGGGTTCTGAAGGAAGGGATGAGGTTACACTCGCCAGTCCCGTTCGTCAGTCGGAGACTAGAACATCCCATGGAGCTGGACGGGAAGGTCTTTCCAGTAGGAACAATGGTCGCACTGGGCATATGGAATGTTCATCACAACCCAGACTTGTGGGAGAAGCCGGATGTGTTTGACCCCGACCGTTTCCTGCCTGAGAACATCAAGAAGCAGGACACCTACTCATACATCCCCTTCTCTGCTGGCCCACGGTAATACTACTTATCTTGCCTCACACATAAATGTCGTTTTCTGATTGGCTGAGCGCTCTTCTATTATTTTCAATGTACCCCGCTTACAAGCGAGTAACATTTTCTATGTACCCCGCTCGGAATGACGGACTCATTTGGTACTTCGTAGTAGTAAGTCTTTATCTCGATCAACATTGAATCACGTACGATGTACGGAAATTACCGATTTTTTGCGAATGCAAATCGATGGAAGGGAGATAACTCTAAATTTGTTTTTCTTGTTATCTGGTACTCCATGCTATGATCCGATACCCGTGCTTCAAATGGTTCAAAATTACCATTGAGGTGTTCGGTAACATAAAATACGTTGTTCACTGGTCCTTCGGGCTCAGGGAACATAAACAAACATCGAGGGTACAGCAACCCATGTCCTTCTCGAGACCAGTTAACAACTTATAATGTCTGTCCAGCCAGTCTGTATATTGTGTTAGGTTAAACTATAGCTGGGATTGTTTTGTCAAACCTAGGTTCCGACACTCACTCTGCACCCGTGAAGCTCCGGGTTAGAATTGATCTTCAGTAACCCATGCTTGTCGTAATAGGCGACTAACGGGATCGGGTGGTCAAACTCGTTGACTTGGTTGACACATGCCATCTTGTCCAAATTGCGTAGACTGATGTTCATGCTGTTGATCACTGGATTGTCTGGTCCAGACTCGATTAATTACAGAATTAATGTTGTTTTCATCACGATCCCTGCATGTTGTAGTTTACAATCGCAAGTAGTGTGAGTAGAAAATGACGAATATATACATTGTTATCATAGTTATATCATATATCATATAATCTTTCGTTCTTCGAAATCTATTTGTGATTCTAAATTGTAGTTTATTACAGAAGCACTAGACACTATACATCCAAACTAAGAACAGGACTGACGTTTAGTCAATTAATAAACTATATTTTCGTTTTTTAAAAATCGGACCAAGAATACGTCTATTCGGGACGCAAATGTACAACATTTCAAACATTATAAGGTTCATTTCGTTGCAAATTGATTTCTTGCTCTCAGTCTTCATTTAACCTTCTCTGATGTTCCGGGCCGTGATATTGTTGAAATATTGATTAAAGCAGCGTAAAACCATACTAACTTGACTGAACCAATTGCCTTCCACAGAAAATCACTCCGACCCAGATTAAATCTTAGAATGGGATAATATGGACAGGTTCGATATTTGCTTTTATTACACATTTCAGTTGCAAGAAAAATTCTTCCCTTCTTTTCCCCTTTATCTATATATCCCTTGCGAGAGTATGTGAGAACATGGGAGAATGTGTTATTTATTGTTCATATATGTTCTCTTCAGAAACTGCATTGGGCAACATTTCGCTCAGAACGAAGAAAAGGTCATAATAGGGAGAATTCTCCAGAGGTATGTTTTCTTTAATAATTTGTTACATGTAATTTCAGTCCCTGTAACGTTAAAAACAAATATATTTCCTGCTTTGAAATACAATTTACAAACTGCATACAACCAACAAATTCAAAAAATCTCTTTTTTGTTATTACAACGTCTGAGAAAGCTGAAGTCAGTTCTTACTAAATATATATGTTATGGTGGACAAATTCATCTACCTGACCGTCAGTTCTAGTTTTCATTGCTAATACAATAAAGTTCAAAAAAGTTTTGCTTTTCAGATACAAGTTAGAGGTAGATACAAGCTACAAGGTTGGGAGAAGGTTTGCTGGCGTGATGAAGTCCACTGAAGGTCTGTGGGTGTACGCTAAACACAGAAACTGAACATTCCAGCAGAAGGTGGACATTCCGGTCCCATGAAAACAATGATGACTGATGTTGATCTACACAGAAATATTCCACTTGATTGTTTAGCATTGATGATAGTAGATAACACTGTTTTGTACCCCAGGAAAACTACGGTTATATGATTGGTTGATTGTTTGACGCAATCAGGAGCATCTAGCAATACCAGAATAACTCTATTCATATAAATGATATGCCTTTCGGAATTAAGTATTGATGCTGATGTGATCTTGCAAGAATCCCAGATATATTTGGTAGATTAAACGTACATTGTATCCAATAGACCATCATGTATTGAGTCCCATTTGCTTCCACTTTCTTTATCCACTTAAGTGACACTGTCCTTACATTCCCAGGTCAACTGACTCTTGTGTTATGCACAAGTGATGTTTTTTGGTCACAGTCATGTTACAGCCGTTGGTGCAAGCGGATATAGAAAGGTGTGCGCAACACAAGGCTCGCAGTGATTGCACCTGTTCACGTTTATTCAGATAAAGTTATTGTCTAAGAAACAAAACTTTAAAATAGGTAGTTTTAAAAAATGGATTTCACTTGTACACAAGTTTGTCTGATAAGTACACAGAAAATTATCTTTGTTTATTATTCATATTAGAAAATACAGAATTTCCTAAGCACTATTTCGATTTGATTCCCACAACTCGTTTGACTGAAGCAGGAATATACATAAGACTTTAGTAGTTAATGTAATCGCGATCTTATAGACGGTGAATATCGCTTCTTCTTCACATGCTGTACATATGTTAATCTAAAACTTGCATGTTTCAAAAACACATCTATGTAAATCCAGAACTTGTTATGATTCGCATTTGAGTAGTTGGTAACAGTAGAAGCAAGAAGTCTTCTTTATTCTGTCATGATAGTTATTGTGTTGTTGTATGTTCGCACGAGTGACACAGGTTCAGGTCCGGTATAACAATCTGTACCGAAAAAAACACATCAAAATAATAATTTCGTTGTGGTCTTTGTAATCCCTGCATTCTGACTAGCTAAAGTGGTCACGTGTTATTTTAAGTCACGCCCACCAAATCGGACCACTTTCCCCACTACAGATTGTCGGAGAATCCCATCTATAATTTGTGAACAGGATATTTTAGCTATGTCACACATACTGAGGATGGGTCAAGCCACCTTTCGATACCAGCGGGGTGCTCGCCTGAATGAAACATGGTTTCTATTCCTATTATTTGTCCCGGCTCGTAACAGTCAGACTGGTGTAGTTCTCGCTTCTTGACCCGTGAAGGTCCGGGTTAGAATGAACCTTCAGTAACCCATGCTTGTCGTAACTGGCGACTAACGGGATCGGGTGGTCAGACTCGCTGGCTTGGTTGACACATGTCATCGGTTCCTAATTGCGCAGATCGATGCTCATGCTGTTGATCGCTGGATCAACAGACCGCTTCCATATAGCTGGAATACTGCTGAGTGCGGCGTAAAACTAAACTCACTCACTCTCGCTTCTTACCGTGAATAACAGGTCCTGTGAATTTATGTTTTGTTGCAACTCTCCTTAACATTTGGCTACTGAATTTGTGGGCGTGTCATTTTCTGTGCATTAATGGAACAATCACCACGCCACAGTATGTATTCTGTCACTTGGTATGTTTATCTGTCACCTGGTATGTTTTTTACTATTTTGTAGGAAACTCTTGTTGATATGATATGTTTAGTTTTCCACAGTGAATTTTTACATAACATTGTAAAGGAGTTGTCATCCATAAATGTATTTCCTTTACTGTACCCATATACATTTCCCCAGTATTTTCAGTTAGCATTGTTTTTTAACGGAATGTGTCCATATATATCCATCGTGCCGCACACGTTATGGTATGTATATATTTTATACAAGTGCTTCCTAAATGTTTTTTCACTTGCCTGTAGCCTCACAGTTTCTGATGAATAAATTATCTACAAATGTTTATGAGTTAGATCCATGACTATTGACACGTTCTATATGAATGGGGGCGGACGGCCATGTTCGGTGATGTGTATGGGTAGGTCCATGACTTCTTTGAATGGCATTTTAGAAGTTGGGAAGTACAATATTGAAAACCCTTATGGATAACAACTTTTATCGTGAGTTTGACGTCCATAACGTCCATGAGGACCAACTCTGTTGTGACGTGGCTGTGTATCTTCTGGAATGGACTGCGAGTACTTATGCTCATACTATTGAGCACATGTTATCTATTCAGGTGTGGTTGACTAAAATGAGGTCGTGGTCCGACAGATACGATTGAGGCCCAGTGTGACCCAGTGTCATTTAGCTGTCTGTTTCGTGAGAGTCAGCTTAAGTGAATCATAAGAAACCGTGTCCTGAATCGTTTGGAACTTGCCGTATACCGATAACACTGTACCCAAGCGTCGACAATTTTAGCGAACAAAATGTTTCTCACATCATGAACGCTATCGACAAGTTAATGACTCATTTTGACCATAGATTTGATTTTTTGGGACAAAAATTGGACGAAAAAGTCAAAAGGATGGTTGGGAAAGAAATAGAAGATTTCTGAAGTGAACTTGATGACAGAGTTGAACGTCTGAACACAGTAAAGTGAGCAGTTTCATTCAGGAGCAACAAAAATCAAATACTAAAGTATTATCTGGCATAAAGGTCAAGCAACATCGGGCCGGATAGAGATGATATAAGACTTAACATAACAATACTTAATCTTCCCGAGAGTGTTAATGAAGACGTGACAAGCAAGGTGAAGGCTCTTTTACGAGATGGGACTTGAGAGCTATCGAGGTTGACCGGACAGACCGGAGGGAGGCGAGCCGTTCACGTAATCTCGGTGTCATCGTAGATAGTTGTCGTTCGATGGAGGATAAATATAAGATCCTGACACAGAACAGAATATTAAAGGACTCGCGGAACTTCAACGAGGTGTATATAGCATCAGACCAGACCCTCCAAAAACGCACGATGGAATCTAACATGAGAGTGCTCTGTGAGTCGATCGGAGACAACCAACCCAGTCGGGAGGCAGGTGGTCTGTCTCACAGTCCCTGAACCACAGTATTTTCCTTACTGACTAGCCCTCTCTGCAGTGATAAAGCCCTAAATGAAGCAAGTCTAGATTTCCCCAGCACTCTGGTCTCACTGGGGCTCCTTTTCAATTTAAATGGGTTTGTTTGTTACTACAAAAATTATATATATTCAGAGACTAAGCGTTAGTTTTGGAGGCAGGGTGCGGCGCAGTGGTCAACATACCCGTAGGAGGGGTTTTGACCAGGCGGGGAGCGAGCCAGACCACACACGTCGTGCACATACATCGCCTACACACAACAGAAGACGTACACGTGCTTACGATGACAGTGTTGACAAAACATTCATCACGTGACCGTGCCAAGCCAATCACTGGACCGACGGAAAATCCAGGTCAACACTCACATCAGGACAACCCGACAACCAATAGAAAGTTCTATTCGAGTTCACGTGACGACACCGAGGACAAAGGTTATCGACGAGTATCCACCAATCACCAGCAAGATAGATAGGTCAGATGTGTCTTCTGGAATGTAAACACTGGCGCAAGTGATAGTCAGTGGGACAGTCACTACGAGATGCATGTGTACAGTTAATGGACTATGACATTGTTGGAGTTGCAGAATTACACTTACTTAAGAAATACAGTTCGCTCTGCCACCATGTATGGTGTAATAAAGCACACTTTCGCCCTGAGTTAAAGCACGAGGACGCTTATAATAGTTCAGGGCAAGAATTATTTCTTTAATTTCTAAGATGCCAAATTTAATACTTACCGACGATAAATCTAAGACAGAAAACAAACAGAAAAGCGACTGTGTCGGTGACCTAAATTAACCATCCTCGTTCAGGGCTAACTGACGCGCTGTTCTGTTGACGCATCTTCCCCCTACGTTAAGGTGCACGTTACCAGAAAACACAAATGATGAACAGTTTGATGACGGTTTACGTTCGGATTAAATATCTTCTCTAAATTATTTTAATTACATCTGTGATTAACGTAAACCATATAGGGCAATATGAACGTCGCATTTCTACTACCAACGTAACTTTAGATCAGTATATCCAGGTGAAGCTGACAGGTTACGTGACATTCCACGGATGCATTGTGGGAATGTTAACATTGCGAACGTTGTCGTGTCGCTGTTTAATTGTGAATGGAACTGAGACATTATATCCGTAAAGATGTAAACGTAATGTTTCCATCAGTGATGTTAGCCGGGTGAAGCAACTGCACACCAAGAAACGGGGTGCTACGTAGCAGTTTACTGTAGGAGGCTGTACGAGGCGATGACAACTGACATGCATCGTGACGTCGGTTACCAAGGGTACGTTCGATTACGAGGGGTCAGACTAGAATGGCGCAGTGACGCTAATACATTGTGACGTAATGCAAAAAGTGTACCCTATCGTCTGATAAAGTACCGTCGGCGCCTTTGATCTTTCACCGAAGCATCTTAGAATCCAAAATAATTTTGAAAAATTATGTGTGATATGGACACAATAGGACACACTTACACCTTAGTGCAAAATCAGGATCAGGCGGTGTCGGTTTTCTGATCAAAATGTGCATCATTGATGAATTTAATGTTTTATGTTTGATAAAAACTATGAAGGTATTCTTTGGCTTAAATTAGCTCATAATGTAGAAATAATAGCGTTTTGATATGTATTTGTTATTTACCCCCTGAACATTCAACAAGAAACATTGACGGTGCTGACGTTTATGACATTTTACTTACTTTTATGACATTTTACTTACGCAGATTGCTGACTTCAAAGCTGACACAATAACATAGCATACATATTCAGTGATTTCAACAGTCGGTGTGGATTATATTGAAGGTACAGATGTGCTTATGGAAAGACGTGTCATTAATAATGTAATTAATTTTGGCATTTTATTCATTGATTTCTTAATAAGTGTGACTTGTTGTATAGTAAACGGGCGATGTGGTGGTATTGATGATGA